TTCTGGTTTTCGATAAAATTCACTGTAAGTATGCTATGCTTACGCAGTTTTTAATATAGCTTTCAAATAATTATAGGAATGTTATTAGGTCCTTAAAATAATTATTTGGCTATTATTATGAGTTATATTGAGTGTTATTAACGCTTATATAATAATAATAATAGTCAGACTAATTAATTTGTCGCGGTTATCGTTAGACTAAACCCTAGTGGTATTGGTACTAGGTTTTATCGAAGGAAATTGTTTTTGAGAGTATCGAAGCGCTGTCGAGTGCTGAGTCACCACCTTTCAGGTGAGTGCATAGTCCCTTTCATCTTACACATAGATATGAAGTATTTTAATATAAATTATGTTGTGTGTGCATATTGTCTGAATACTTGCTGTCTATGCTGGGTGAAAGATTTTTATACATGTTTTAAATGATTTAAACTGTATATGTATTTTATATCTACAAAATGTGTTGGGTAAAACATGGGTAGATGAAATAGTTGTTTTGTGATAACACGATGGGAGACATCAATGTTGTCAGTGATCCAGTCATCTAGTGGAGTATAGATGATGACCATGGGCGATACTAGATGGTCCGGTGGAACGCTAGTAAGCTCGTAACCTGTAGGTGTTTTTGAACTAGGTGCTCATTAGGTATTTTGAACTGAGTGTGTTCATTATGTATCTTTGAACTGAGTGTGTTCACTAGGTATTTTGAACTAAGTGTGTTCACTAGTTACTTTTGAACTAAGTGTTTACCAGATGTTTTGGACTACGTGTTCACCAGATATATTCTATAAGCCTTGGTAATGATGGACTTCGTGTCGATTCCTTAGGATGATCCTTAGGAATAAATAAACGAGGAATAGCTGATTCTTACGGTAGATCCTTAAGACTAAAGAAGATAATGGGGATGGTAATTGGGTTGATTGTTTGATTGTTTAAACATAATAATTATATTATTGTGGGTTGAAAACCCTATGTACTCACCAGGTTTCCCAACCTTACCCACTCAGTTTATTTATATCACAGGTGTTGATATGAAGTCAATTTACACTGAGAGATTTAAAGAGATGTAGATCACTAGAGTAAATAAATGTAAGTTCTGTTTATG